GCTCTTCCATTAATGAAAAATCTCCCAAAAGATGAGTGTGAGGAGCAAGCGTGAATTGTCCAATGTTTGAAAGCAGGACAGCACTCTGAGCGAGTCCAGTCTTGATCTTGCATGCCTATCAAGATGCAGAAATGCCCATTACTCTGCTTCTTGTATTTGAAGCGTTGGATCAAAGCAGTAAAAAATTAATATTTGTGGTCTCTGGTTTGGCAAACAATTGATGTTATCTGTTGGCCTCTGAATGTCTCATCATCCAAGATTCTATTTTAAATATTTTAGTTTCATGTTTCTCTTTTGACTTTGTCATTTTCTTCTCTGATTTCAGTATTCCCAGGAGAAATCATGGATGAAAAGCTGTCTTACAAAGAATTTCTCGACCGCAATGAGTCCTGGACGATGGATGACAGAGACCTGTGCTTTGAGGCGCAGCCCGTGTTCAGACCCATGGAGATGGCTGGTATGACTGTGTGACTCTTCAAACCGTAGCATCGGTTGCTTTGTTGGGTGTGTAACGCGATGGAGTCCTGGCCTCTGTCCCTCAGGGTGGTTTTCTTCTCTTGCCGTGTACTCCTGCCTCTGTTCTTTAGGGTCATAGAATCATTAAGGTTGGAAAAGACCTCAAAGATCATCAAGTCCAACCGTCACCCCAACACCACCATGCCTGCTAAACCATGTCCCCAAGGGCCACATCCAGACGGTGTCTGAACCCCTCCAGGGATGGGGACTCCCCCACTGCCCTGGGCAGCCTGGCCCAAGGCCTGACCACTCTCTCAGCACAGACATTTTCCCCAATCTCCAAGCTGAACCTCCCCTGACGCAGCTTGAGGCCATCGCCTCTCGTCCTGTCGCTGGTTCCTGGGGAGCAGAGCCCAACCCCCCCTCACTGCACCCTCCTGGCAGGGAGCTGCAGAGAGCGAGAAGGTCTCCCCCCAGCCTCCTCTTCTCCAGACGGAACAGCCCTAGTTCCTTCAGCCGCTCCCCATAAGATTTGTTCTCCAGACCCCTCACCAGCCTCGTTGCCCTTCTCTGGACATGCTCCAGCCGGCTGTCGCCCAGCACCCCCAGGGCCTTTTCCACCGGGCAGCTCTCCAGCCAGGATGTGTTTCTCTGCTTTCCTAAAATAAAATCCTAAATAACATCCCAACACCAGAGTGGCCTTCGCACCCCCTGACTTGCCCTCGAGCGTATTCGGGTGGGTTACAAACGGAGTTGCTGGGCCGGTGTGTTGGAGGACACCGTGTAGGTGGGCAGATTTCCCCCTGGCCTGGCTCACGTGGCGACAGCACTTTCTGGCTGACTCCCACAGCTCCAGCGTGCTGGAGCACCGTGGCTTTCAGTGCCAGCCCCCCCAGAACCGCTGGCAGCAGAGAGCTGGGGAAGAGAGCTCGGCAGCGCCCGTTCCAGCTGTCACGTCGCTGCGTCTGCAGTGCGGCTCGGGCTGCTCCGGAGCCAGCCTGGGTAGCTGCTGACTCTTGAAAATTAGATGAACCTTGCATAACCTGCACCTGCAAAAAGATACCCTTTCACCCAGCAGCTTCCACCCAATTTTCTCTCGTTTTTGAGAAAGATTATGGGAAATTAGTTGCTGGCTTTTCAGAATCTCAGAATCACAGAATGTTGGGGGTTGGAGGGGACCTCTGGGGGTCACCCCGCCCAAAAAAAACCAGCTGCCTGGTCGCTGCGTCTGCAGTGCGGCTCGGGCTGCTCCGGAGCCAGCCTGGGTAGCTGCTGACTCTTGAAAATTAGATGAACCTTGCATAACCTGCACCTGCAAAAAGATACCCTTTCACCCAGCAGCTTCCACCCAATTTTCTCTCGTTTTTGAGAAAGATTATGGGAAATTAGTTGCTGGCTTTTCAGAATCTCAGAATCGCAGAATGTTGGGGGTTGGAGGGGACCTCTGGGGGTCACCCAGCCCAACCCCCTGCCGAAGCAGGGTCACCCACAGCAGGCTGCAGAGGACCTTATCCAGGTGGGGCTTGAATATCTCCAGAGAAGGAGACTCCCCAGCCCCTCTGGGCAGCCTGGGCCAGGGCTCCGTCACCCTCAGAGGGAAGAAGTTCTCTAGGAGAAATGTATGTGCTGCCCGGATTGTAACAGGCAATAAACCTGGGAAAGATAGTGACTGAAACAGGATGAAACTTTTTAATATATATTTTTGATCACTGAAAAGCTGCTTACTACATTCTTTTCTTGTTGTCTGAATCTCATATTTATGAAGAGATCCCCTAAAGAAACTATACATTGTTACAAGGACAAGAAATGGGTCATGGAACAACTGGGACCCAAGAGCCACTGGTTTCCAAAGGGCAGTTGTTGAGCTTTTCCCCAACGGGTTTTACCCATTGCTTCATTAGGTGAAGGGCAGAGTTGGGCAGAGAGGAACCTGATGAGGTTCAACCAGGGCGAGGGCAGGGTCCTGCGCCTGGGGAGGAACAACCCCAGGCACCAGTACAGGCTCATTCAGAGGAGTGTGGGCAGCAGGGCGAGGGAGGGTCTCCTCCCCCTCTGCTCTGCCCCAGTGAGGCCCCATCTGCAGTGCTGTGTCCAGTGCTGGGCTCCCCACTTCAAGAAAGATGAGGAGCTACTGGAGAGAGCCCAGCGCAGGGCTGCGAGGATGAGGAGGGGACTGGAGCATCTCTCCTAGGAGGAGAGGCTGAGGGAGCTGGGCTTGTTCAGCCTGGAGAAGAGAAGGCTGAGAGGGGACCTTGGAAATGCCTCTAAATATCTGCAGGGTGGGGGTCAGGAGGACAGGGCCAGACTCTTTGCAGTGGTGCCCAGCGACAGGACAAGGGGCAACGGGCACAAACTGAAGCAGAGGAAGCTCCAGCTGAACCCGAGGAAGAACTTCTTCCCTCTGAGGGTGACGGAGCCCTGGCCCAGGCTAACCAGGGAGGTTGTGGAGTCTCCTTCTCTGGAGATATTCCAGCCCCGCCTGGACACGGTGCTGTGCAGCCTGCTCTGGGTGACCCTGCTTGGGCAGGGGGTTGGGCTGGGTGACCCACAGAGGGCCCTTCCAACCCCCACCATGCTGGGATTCTGTGATTCTGGCACACAACGAAAACTGCTCATGATGAAACCATTACTTTTAAACTGGGAGGAACAGTCTGGATTCCCCCCACCCGCCG